AATCACAGTTTTGAAATTCACCCTCATGCAGAGAGCTAGCACAAGGACTATACTCTCAGGGACTTTAGTGGTGGTTAAGCCCATTCTCCATTGGGGGAAACCTAATAAGGAGAACTCTGGTCTGAAGGGATGGTTCCAAGAGGAATTGGTCCAAAAATCAATGCCCCATGTCCAGTCACCCCTGAATTTCATGGGAAGGTCCAAATCTCTTTCTATAATGGTCCAAATCAAAATTCAAATCAGGTCTACCTCATGTCAAACACAGGTGGATGGAACTATTTTGATGATGGGTGTGTGGGGAGAAAGGGGAGGGAGGAGTGAGAATTTAAGATAAAGAATTCAGAGTACCTGTGGCAGAATTGTGCTTGTTTTGAGACACAATCACACACAAGGAGAGCATAGCAGTCAGAAGTGTTGGCTTTACAGTACAACAATTTCACTTTCAATTACTGTGCATATTATGTAACCTTAAACCAAAAAAACTTGGCAATTCTAGAACACAGACACGGTTTTTGTTTCAAATACACAATTGCCATCTGGTTTCACTTAAAAAAACAAAACAAACAAAAACAAGATTAAAGCTGAAATACAAAAGTGACATTTACGTCAATCGCTTTCAGAAATTGCCACTAGTACAGCAAAATTTCATTGCACCCAGACCTTTTAAGCTACTTGAAAGCAAAAGTCATTTTACTGGCAAGTCAGAATTGCATATCCATGTATAGAGTCCACCTTCAGTCCGGGGAGCCTGGATTAACACCATTCTCCTTTGAATGAAGTTGAATAAACTGGAGCATTTTAAAAGTGTGCTTGAAAAAAAGTCTCACATTTGTTTTTCCTCAGCAGAATGATGAATTACAGTTATTTACATATACCCAATGCCTTCTCTGTGTGACTGACCTACTCTCTGGGTAGACGTAAAGCAAATCCTTCTTTACATGTCCAAGTTCTTCAGATAGGAGAAGAACGAAGAGCAACTTAATTATAAAATAAAGAAGCTGGTCATTTTTGAAACCTCCGATTTCCTCAACTGTTTACAAGGGTAACTTGGAAGTTTACTATTTACACTAGCAATTCTGCGGTGGTCTGAGGAAGAGCCATCCGTACAGCCATAGTGGGCATCCTCCATCAGGTGGGTGCTATGAACCCATTCTCAAACCATTTTCTTTAAGGCACTGCACCAAACACAATGACCTCACTCAGAATGGTGGCTCCCCTTCACTGGATAGTGCATTTCTCCCTCTCTCTTGCCTGGCCTTCCCTGAGAACTTTGGATTTGATATATTTCAGGTCACTGTTGACACTAGGTCGGCGAGCAAACGGGGAGATCATGCCATAGGCATCCATCTCTTTGACCCGGCGCATTCTGAAGGATTTTTGGTGGAAGGTATCACCGTATTGGACAGAGATTTTCCTGTGGAGGGCAGGGCTCATCTCGTGAGGTAGCTTGGCCATGCTGAAGAGGACATAGAACATCTCGTCCACATTAGTGTTCTTCTTGGCTGAGATTTCAAAATAAGCACAGTTCTCATCACTGGAGACAAGCTTCTCTGCTTCGTCTGAGCGTACCTTGCGGTAGACTTCACTATGGTCATTCTTGTTGCCGCAGATCACCATGGGGAGGTCAGCTGTCTCCTTGGTCTTGTTCTTCAGGCAGGATTTGACTTCAAGGATCTGTTTCTGGATCCTCTTGACCTCATCAAAGGATTCTCTGTTGTCCAAACTGAATACCAGGATGAAAACATCCCCTGTAATTAAAAAGAGAACCAGAAAACTTGTTCATTAGAATCCACCTCAGAATGGTGTATTTCACTTTCACCAAAGTGGATGGTCCAATGAAAGATATTATCTCACCTACACTGATTACCTCTGTTTCAAAAGTAATGCATTTCATTCGCCCTCCTCTTTCTCTTTGCTTATTTTCCCTTCAATCCTATACATTCTCTAAGGACACTAGTTCCTGGTCACCTTCTGATTCCCCTTCCTCCTTGTTCCCATAGCTGTAGAAATGTCTTATTGTCAAAGTATTTCCTCAGTCATATCCTGTTGTCTGATCCAAAACGGCACTTGACTCATTGGTGTTACCCATTTGCATTGTGTTTTTTCAAAAACATTCTGACTTAATTCTTCTGGGTCACTTAGTCCTTCCTCCCCCTTCTCAAGATCATTTGTCATGAAAAACACCACCTGTGTAGCAAGACGATAGAACAGTCGCCAGTTTGCTTTGACTCTTTTAAGGTACAAGAACAGGAGCAGCACTTGACCTCCAGACCAACAAGCCTGTCTGTTCAGAGCATCTGAGAAATGAGTTTGAGCTTCCAAAAAGGCAGTGCTCTGCTAGCATTTCCATTGCTCAAGAGAAACAGAGTACAAAAGAAAATGCAAATGACATAGCTCCTCTGGTTTTACTATAATGCTGGGAGAATCTTTCTTGTATAAATATAAGACAATGCAAATAACAACCTGTTAAGTGCAGTTTATGTGCAACTGAGAAAGAGATCTTTCCCCACCCACATCCAGGAGTTTGACCCCTGTATCATGTAGGATCTAGATTCTGGTAGCTGACAATACTTAATGTAGACTTAGGGTGTCACTGGATAAATTGTAATGCAAGTACAGGCAGTCCCCGGGTTACACGGATCCGACTTACATCAGATCCCTACTTACAAACGGGGTGAGACAACCCCGCACTAGCTGCTTTTCTCCCTAGCAGACCAGGGAGACACGAAGCTAGTGCCCCACCCAGCAGACCAGGGAGACGCGGAGCGGCTTTTCTCAGCAGATACCTCAGCTTGAGAATAAAGGACTGAGGGAAGTGAGGCGAGAGAGAATAAAACTGAGCTCTGGAGAAATGTTTGGCTAGAGTTTCCCCTACAATATGTACCAGTTCCGACTTACATACAAATTCAACTTAAGAACAAACCTACAGTCCCTATCTTGTACGTAACCCGGGGACTGCCTGTAGTACTGAACTCAGGTGGGCTATGAACTTGGCCCTATACTTATCTGTGTGTACACACCCACAGTCTAATTTTCAGAACTGATGCATGCACAGCAACACCCACTTGAAAACAACAGAACTACTAGCTGATCCACATTTTCATTATGAAGCCACCATTCTTGTAATTATAGCCATTTTCCCAAAATGTGGTAAGAGAGAATTCTGGGAGTATTTAATAGCAGAAGGCAGAAATAATAAGAGTGGAGGGAGTGATTTTAGGGAGATGCATTTCACTGAATTTATAATTGTCCAAATGCAGGACACCAGTTTAAAACTAAAATCCTTGTCAAATCATTTTTAAAATTCCTTGGTGTATATTTGACATGCATGTTTCATTGCTTGTGCATGGGGGTGACAAACCTCCTCTTTCTCTTGCTGTTATTTATACCGGTGAGATTTTGATTTTATAATTCACTTGTCACTGCAGTTAAAAAAACAACATCAAAACAAGCGGTGTGTATAATATGTGGGAGTTGAGGGAAGGAGAATAAATTAGGTAAAGAAACTCAGACTTTAGAATTTCTCCAAGTTGGTTCCTAGGTGACTGATATACCCCCTGGTGATGGCTGGAGTGCTCCAGTCAAGGAAAGTCTCTGGGGAAAAGATGTGTCTTTATAATAAGATCTATACTATTACCAGTCATTCCTTATATCTAGCCCTTATTTTTCCTCATTCACCATATAAACCAATGCTCTCTTAGGAAATAGCTTTGTCAAGGTTATTCTCAAGAAGAGATCCAAGATGGGATCCTTGACCTACCACCCCTCAGAAGGACACCCCTCATCTCTCTCTCATCCCATACCTCTCACCTGTCAGTATAGAAAGCCTCCTCATCGCGGGGAATGGGTGATTCCCAGATGTGTCCAGAATGTCCAGCTGATACATGTCGCCCCGAATGTTGTAGACCTTACGGTGAAAATCCTCAATGGTGGGAGTGTACTGGTCGTCAAAGCGGCCGGTGAGAAAGCGGGAGACAATGGAGCTCTTGCCCACCCTGGAGGCTCCCAGCACCACCATGCGGTAAGAATTCTTGGCTGGCACGCTCAGGGTGCAGTTCCCACTGGACAGAGTCTTCATCATTGCTTGGTGCTGAAAGGGTCAAAATAAAAGCAGGTGGGGGTGGAGAGAAAGGACAGAAGAGTGAGACTGGTGTGTAAAGACTCCTGGGTTTTCTTACAAAAAATCTCAAAGAGCACTGTGGATTGTTCCATGGTGTAAGATAGTTTGGTTCTAATTAGTAGGTTGGGGTCCATAAGGAAACTGCATGAGTGGAAACAGCCTTATTTTTAGTCTAGTTTAAGGAGAATTTTTTAAGTCGTGTCAAAATGAAGAAATTTATATTTTAATATGAAGTTTTGAATTTCAATTTGCCACCTTGTTGGAACATTGAGGGCTAATCTACCATCTTGGCTTTAGCTCTGACTCCAGTTTCATACCCATAGTTTAAATCACACAGACATTTTGGGCCTGATTTTCAAAAGAGCTCAGTTCTCATTTGGACTCCTAAATGAAGCAGAGAGGTTTCCAGAAGCACACTCCATCCCCCATTTAGATCTAGCAACTCCTTTTTTAACGTTTAAATGGGAGCTGCTCACAGTACCTGTTTTCTAGGATCTAAAGTGCTGGCACAGGCAACAAACTGTAGGTTCAGAATTGCATCATCGGACACTAACTTCAAAGACTTGGGCCCCAAATGTTATTTTTCAGATTTTGGCACCAGATTTGTATCCAACAAATCTCTAATGCCAGAGCTCTTCACTCTCAAACTGTTAGCATCTCAAATATTACTGCTTTGCAGCAAGATGGCTGGTCATGGACGGAGCTGTAGAAAAACTAGTTTTATTTTTCATCAATGTGTCACTCCTTACATGCACATTAGTTCTTGGTTCTGGCAGGTCTTGGCTGTATTGAGTGAACTGGAAAGAAATGGGGGACAGTGAGGGAAGAGGGCCGCTTTCTGGTAGAACCAAAGTGCAAGATGAATACTATAGTGAGTTTACAGACGAAGAGATTATATTTTGACACAGCACACAGATATAGGATATCTCAATAGAAAAACCATGGATTCCACAGATCTTTTTCATCTCTTAGATCAAATATGTGGAGCACAGAAAAGAGAAATACAGGCATGCTGTAGAAAACTATCTGTCAAAGCAGAGCTACACATTTGGACAGTTTATTTTGGTTACCAGAGTCTTATGAAAGAAATATCAAGTTCCCACAGTGCTGTTTATTTAATGTAAGTGTTGTTTACTGAATAGCAAGTTTTGAGAATTTACACACACACACACACACCCCTGGATTCCTAACCTTTCCCCCATGTGAATTTAATCTCCCATGCCTTTATGTATCTGGTATTTATGCCAGGAAAATTATTTAAATGTTTTACATGTGTTAGGTACTAAGCAAAAGTAAAGAAATAGTCATTGCAAATAAAGAAGCCTGTATGAAGTCTGAACCAGCATCCCTACAGACTTTGTGTTGTGGCTTAAGGCAACAACAGAACATTACTACTCATTATTATTGTTATTTATTGAGCACTGACAGCATTCTCAGCTCTAGAAGAAGCACAAAAGGAAAAGCAGTGCTTGTCCCAAAGGCAAATTATAATCTACATTAGACTCAATGGGGATTACTGTCTAAAATATTGTCAGGAGGATGTAACATTTGCACACGTAGTATAGTCCAATTGTGTCAATGTGAGTGCTGAGTCAGGCTAGGCTAGCAAAATCCAGTCCTATGTTTTGACTAATTTGGAACGGGTTGTACCATCTCAGTGCAAAGTCACGCATTTTCCTCAGAAACACCTACAGCCAGTAGTGTTCACTTGCCCTTGTACTCTCCTTTGTACGCTTTGATAGGCAGGCTCTACAGACTGTGCACCAAATGGCTGGGGACTGAATTATTTAGAGATTTTTCCCCATTGTGTTCTTGGAGCTTTGTTTAGTAAGATGGGCAGAATAAATGTTTCAAAAGCAGAATAAATGTTGCCAGATACTCCCTAGAAGATTGACATTATTCAGTGATGGGCCAAATTCTCAGCTGTTCTACACAGGTGTAGCTGCACTGATTTCAGCGAGCTTTGCTGAGTTACACCAGCTGAGCATCTAGCCTAATATCATGTAGCTGTGATGAATACTGTTAGAGGATAGTAGCCTTCTTCAAATATGGGAGTCTAACAGTGTTGTCTTAACCTGTTTGATTCAGCACTCCGAATGACAGGGCCCTGATCCCAACTGTACCTTCTAGGTGCTACCATCATATAAACACACAAATATTGCGTTAAAGGAAACTGAGCAAATAGCAGCAAATCACAGATATACAGCCCATCAAGAAAGCAAGCAGGGGAGTGTCTCATCTCAATCGGTGGGAGAATTTTGCATGATAGCACAGGCATGTCGAGATGCACGTGTGCATCATCTGGTCTGTATTTGAGGGCATAGAGGAACATTCATTTTCGCTAATCGCTTTATAGTGGTTAAAGTAGGTGACTATCCAAACCTAATGAATAGAGCCCTGCAAATCCACAAATTTCCACTTTATATCCATGGGTATCTGCATCTGCGGCTCATTTTTGCGGATACAGATGAGAATACAAATTTTGTATCTGCGCAGGGCTCTCCTAATGGATCATAATATAAAATGGCCATAAGAGGCGGCTCACAACAGTGGTTGGGGAAGGGGGGGAATGGGAATGAAACACACACTCCTCAGCTGAGCGCTGAAGGAAATGTTAGAACATTGGTCCAGATGTTCAGCAGAGCTCTCTGTAGGGGGCTGAGCACTGGAATATCTGGCCACAGCTGGGGCCAACGTACAGCAGAAAATCTGGACCCAAGCCCATCGTGATTCTATATAAAACCAGAAAACTGATCTTGGTCCTTCACACCTTGCTGAGAACAAGAAGCAAACAACTGAACTGGGGAAGAAGAGAATTTTTTTAGTTTTGGATCTGGTTGGGAGCATACAGATGTTGTCAGTTTCATTTTACACACGTAGACTTGGCATGCTGCTCCAGCTGTGCCACGTCACTTTATAGCATGCCCCCTACAACCTTCTGTCTCTTCTCTCCTAAAATGTGACAGCACACATTCCTCCACCGAAAATAAAAATAATCCACTTTCTGTCTGTCCTGCCTAGCACAGGGTTGTTTCTCATGCAGCTGTATGCAATGGACTTTTAGGAATGTTTCTCTCATATAGGTCCTAAAAATCAGAGTTGACAGTGTGCAGAATAGCTTCTTTCTTGGGAACTAGTGGGAGCCTTATAGTTTGGGCGAATTAACAAACTTGATGAAGCATGGGAGAATGTAAAGTTGGGAACTATCCTAAAATGTATTATCTTTTCCTGGTACCAATACACATGGGCTCTAACATTTCTCCTTTCTCTTAAAGAGGCACTGAGCATGAAAGGTGCAATATATCAGTGACACCTTTGCATCTCCACAGCACCTCCAATTCTAGAGATTTCAAAGCATATTCTGTTAATGGCTCCTTCAGTGTACTCCCGTGAGAAAAGTTTTATCGTCCCCATTTCACAGCGGGAAAACTGAGGCACAGAGCGCCTCAGTGATTTGACCAAGGTCAAACAAGTCCATGGCAGAGTGAAGAACAGAATCCAAATCTCCTGATTCTCAGAGTGCCTCAAATTCCAATCACTAGGCTACACTACCTGCCATCCTGAGCAGGACAAAACCTTATTGTGTGCGTGCTCGCCTCTCTCCCTCCGCCCTATGTTCAATCGTTGAGGCTTTGACTTAGAGGTGTTTGTGCACAGGTCAGGGGAAACAACAGCTGGAAGCAGATCTCCCCCAGCACAGCTAGATTTTATTAATTTACAATGTCATCGTATGGTGCCATTGAGGAGTTGGTTCTGTTTGTCAGATTATTCCTTTAAGGAAGTTCCCGTGCTTTGCAACCTGCCTTTGGTCTAGTACACAGTAAATAGATTCTTTCAGCCCTTCTAATTCCTGAAGCTGTTATTCACTTAATTGCCTCCACTGTGCACCTGACTTGCAGGGTGCAGCACAACCTGGAACCTTCATTTGTCTTTCATGCTCTTCCCATCACCACAGCTTCTGGCAGACTCAAACCTTTCTCCTCTTTTACTCAGAGAAAGAAACCACATTTAAGCCCCTTTGGGGATGCAGGAAGCCATACACGGGAAAAGATTAAAGGTAATAAAGAAGAAACAGAAGGAGACCACACTTTTACTAAATAAAGTAAAAATCAATTGCAAGAGGACAAACAAACACCACCAGCTGATTTTAATCTATGTCTCTTGCTTCAAGTTTATTGAAGGTTTAAAAATAGATGTTCCCTGCTGCATCTTTAGCTTCAGGCATTGACTTTAGGGTAATAAAACACCCGATTTATATTATTTTGCCCTTTTGCAGCACTTTCTATCCAATTATTTTAAAATGGTTCACATAAGGTGGGTATAATTACTACTATCCCTATTTCTGTGAAACCAGAGCCCAGAGAGATAAAATGACTTGTCTAAAGTCACACTGTGAGCCACTGACAAGAAAAGCCTTAAACCTGTCTCCTGACCTTATCCCTTTGCTCTAAACATAAGATAATGCTATTTCCCCCCCAAATTTAAGACCACATTATAATGCACCCGCCTTTGCAAATCCATGCATGCACTAAAGAGATCATACCTAAATTCCAATCAGGTTTTGAAAGTCTGATCCTATGTACCAGTCACAGAAAAAAGAATAATGAAGACAGAAAACCTGCTACCGGGAGCTTTTGCTGTTAGCTTTCAGTACTCAAATTACAAGAATTACCACATGCAGTATTCTCCTTACCACTGAACATACACAAAAGCACTCAAAAGGTGCCACTGTTTACAGTCAGCAGTTACAGTATTTATCTCTATATACATTAGTCCTACAAGATTTATTGCATCTGGCTAAAAAAAGACAGGCAGAAGCAAACCAAACTGTGCATTAGAGACCTGTCATTGATTAGAAAATCCTGGAGTCCCTTTCATTTTCATGCACACTGCTGTTACTTTTGGAAGGTATTTTTCTCTCTATTGCTTTAATGCTAGGTCCAGTGCCTCTCCCTTACCTTTCTTTGTGTGGAGGAGAAATCCTGAATCTTAGTGCTGTAGATAAATCTGTCTTGATGGTTTTAATCAGATGTGTTGCTGATCCTTTTTGGATCCCAAGTCGCTGGGCTGGGCTCCTCTTGACCGCTTTGGACCCTAGCTGGACTGGGAAAGACCAGAGTGATCCAGCAGCTGGTCCCCCATGAGTGATCTTTATTGGGTCAGAAGACTGACATGATCCAAGGTAGGCTCTCTGTACCAGAGGTAGTTTTTCCCTTCTGAAGAGGTTTGCTCTTCTCCTGATAATCTCAGTTCTCTAGGTCTCCCACTCACACTTGCTTTTCTTGCAACTTGTAATTTGTAGACTCATTTGGTTGGAACTGGCCTCTGGTGCGACACCTAGCTGCCAAGGCTGGTATGTGCATTCAGCTGACCCATACTGCAGGGGGGGAAGCACATTCGGGTTCAGGAGGGGGGCCTGGGAGTTTCTTATGATAGTAGGTTTGAAAGTACACCTTCACTCCTGCACTGCACAAAAATCTTGGCAGGTAAAGCAGGGTTTCCCTCTCATCTGAGATTTGTTTAAAAATGCTCCCTTTTCAGTACAGAGGTGGCTTTGCTTTTTCTTTAAATTTTAAAATTTGTCTAATGATTCTTCCTCTCTCCCTGTCTCTCTCTCCCAGCAGCTGGTAAGTTGTAGGTTTTCCTTCGGCAGAACTCACAGATAATTGACTCACTCCTCCCTCGAAGTCAGAGACAGTGGAAGAATTACCAAGGGGGTGGATCTTATGTTTATTGAAGGTCTTTTAAGGCCCCCCCCCACTAAACTTCCTGCATATTCCAGATTGCAAATTCTCTCTCTTTCCAAAAAAGACCTGTGTGCATGATCATGTGTGTGAGAGATTTGTTAATCCTATTCCTATTATCTCTCATTAACTTTTTAAAAGCACATTTCCCCTTTTCAGCGTTTCCTGCTAAACAAAGATGGACTGAGTGGTTAACCAAATAGGGTTTTTACATTCCTAATTTTTATGATTCCTTTGAGATATAGCATCCCTTTCCCTGAGACATTGTGCAGCTGTTAGGAGTGCTTGTTGATTTTAATCTAGAACTTAAAATCAGACTGCAAATGTTACATGGCTTGCAACTTCATTTTGATCTGGATCAACCCAGTGGCATTGCTAATTTCCCATCTAAAAGCAGTGATTCAACTTGCTTCCTGTATTTCTGACCACTTTCTCCACAGACTGCATTCTGACACTACTGCTACTACCCTGCTCTGTAATAGTCTCCTGCCTTATCTACACCCCTTATCTCTATGAATAACAAATCAGTTCTTAGGAAGAGGACCTCCAACCATACCCACCCACATGCTGCTGAATGTGCACGTAGCTGCAGCCTGCCAGGTTCTTAGGCACCAGCCCAGGAACAAAGGTTTTCAGCAGTCCCTGGTAATTTCTCTATGATGGTACCACACAATAATGGGGGATAGGTCAGTGCATGGATTCAGCTCCCTGCCTTACCTTTTGTCTGGGGTCAGAGGCTTGCAGCTGGCCAATTAAGCCCCACCCATTATACCTGGGGAAAGGATGGCAACTTAATTGACTGATCCTCAGAAAAGGAGGAGCAGGGAATGGGAGAAGGGGCAGTAGTACTTGCTAGAGGTGAGAGCAACTCCAGGAAACAGAGGGGAGTGTGGGGGAAAGCCCTGTTAGCACACAGGATTCTGAGGAACAAGCCAGGAAGGTTTGGTTGATAAACTTGTAGGGTGAGGGACAAATTTGGATGTGGGGAAGAGGCTTAATCTTAATCCAGGCTTTGTGAGGAAAGCCTGTGAAATTTTGATCTTTTCATTAGGAAGGCTTGTAATAAAAACCCCAGCAATTAATGGGAGCAGAGACTACTCTGCCTGAACTCTGTGAGTGGGCTCCAGGCAGGCTTGACCCAGGTTGGGATCTGACCCTACAGCTTTGGCTCAGCTGAAAGAGCACTGGCACCAGCCGTGGTGGAGCTGGAAGAGGGTATGATAACGTAGGCCTAATTCTTCATATGTGGCACCTGAACAGCCTAGGCACCTTTTGCTCTGCACCCTCTGTACCTTGCTGGTTGCTAGGCTTGGGTTGTGAGTGACCTCCACTGGCTGCTGTCTGCAGCATGGCCCAGCAGGGCAGAGGATGAGTCATTATGCAAGGGGGCTTCAAACCTGTCTGACGAGTTATCTCCCAGGGAGCGGAACAATGGGAAGAAGGGGAGTGGAGCCCTGGCTGGGGGCAGGGCTGGAAGTGAGTTAGTTAGTTAGGTTTCTGGCTGGTATCATGGAGGAAGCAGCCTAGGCAATGAGCTGGGATTTAGGGCCACAGGATCCCCCACCTCAAGGGGGGGGGCTGAGGCATCCTAGGCCTTCCCTGTAACCAGATTACATCTGTGCTGTGCTGTATTCTGGAAAAGCAATAAACTCCCTCTATTCTACTGGCTGGTGGAGTCTGTCCGTGCCATTACGGGGGTGCAGGAGACGGGAAAACCCCAACGTGCTGTCATACCCTCTCCATCAAGAAGGACCATGGAGGAGATACTCTAATGGTAAATCAAAAGAATGTGGAGAATGAAAGGAAACACTAATGCCAGGAGGCTCTCCTGGCCTCTCAGCAACACCTGAAGGAAAGCCATCTTGATGAGACTGAGCAAAACAGGCAGTTCTAGGTGGAAATGGCCTCACTTGCTCTCATGGTGGCCAATGGGACAAGGGATCAGCCACAGAAGGGAGGCCTGCCTTGGAATTTCATCCAGTTTTACCTTGACCAAAATGGGCAGCAGTGATAATTCTGAGGCCTACCTGTCCATATTTGAGTGTATTGCTACCACAGTAGGCTGGCAGAGGAATTGCTGGGTGGCACATCTGTCCCCAAGCAGATTATCAGGCTCTCAACATGGATGAGGCAGAATCTTATGCAATGCACAGGGCAGTAATCGGGGACTGCCTCGGTTGCTCTGTAGAACCTTATCAAAAGAAACTTTGGTTGGAGTTATTCTCTAAGGCTGTGTCTACATTGGCGCAATCTTGCGCCAAAGCGGCTGCTTTTGCGCAAAAACATGCTGCCTGTCTGCACTGGCGGGGAGTTCTTGCGCAAGAACACTGATGTTCTAATGTGTGAAATCAGTGCTTCTTGCGCAAGAACAATGATGCTCCTGCTCAGGAATAAGCTCTCTTGTGCAACTGTTCTTGCGCAAGAAGCCAGTGTAGACAGGCAACATGAATTTCTTGTGCAAGAAAACCTGATGGCTAAAATGGCCATCAGAGCTTTCTTGCGCAAGGGAGCGTCTACACTGGCATGGATGCTCCTGCGCAAAAGCACATCTCTTGCGCAAAGGCACATGCCAGTGTAGATGCTCTCTTGTGCAAATACTTTAACGCAAGAACTCTTGCGTTAAAGAGTATTTGTGCAAGATCATGCCAATGTAGACACAGCCTAATGGAAAACACCTTTGGGCAGTAACGCAATAGCTCCTGGGCTTGGCTACCCAATGGCTAACCCAGAGGTCAAGACAGTAGTGGAGCTCATGGAACATATTCTCCCTATATTGATACAAACCTGTTTTCAATGGTTTCAGCCCAGATGCACTGTGGAAGCCATGGAGATGTTCTTGGAGGATGAAGTGCCTAGGTGTGGGAAGAACAGCTTCTCAGTCAGCTGGCCCCAATTAGAAAGGTAGCAAAAGACTATAACTACAATACAACTGAAACATTACCCCTAGCATGGTCCCCCATGTCCAGAAAAAGGGACCTCAAAGTTCCAGATTTCCCATAGACCACTACTGCCCCTATAGCCATGATGGCCTGTAGCATGTTATCACTGTGGCCAACAGGCATTTATGTCAGAAGTGCCCATATGATGGAATGTGACTATTCAAGATGCTTCTTTGGCCAAGCAGGTGAGACTCCAAGTAAACCCACAGAATTGAACCCAAAGCCCTTTGTAGTCACAAGAAAGACGGGGCCAAACTTGGCAGAGGAATTAATATTCTCAGGCTACGTCTAGACTGGCATGATTTTCCAGAAATGCTTTTAACGGAAAAGTTTTCCGTTAAAAGCATTTTCGGAACAGAGCGTCTAGATTGGCACAGACGCTTTTCCGCAAAAGCACTTTTTGCGGAAAAGCGTCCGTGCCAATCTAGACGCGCTTTTCCACAAAAAAGCCCCGATCGCCATTTCGCAATCGGGGCTTTTTTGCGGAAAACAAATCTGGGCCGTCTACACTGGCCCTTTTGCACAAAAGAACTTTTGCCTGAATGGAAGCAGCATAGTATTTCCGCAAGAACACTGACAATCGTCTATGAGATCGTCAGTGCTTTTGCGGAAATTCAAGCCACCAGTGTAGACAGCTGGCAAGTTTTTCCAGAAAAGTGGCTGATTTTCCGGAAAAACTGGCCAGTCTAGACACAGTCTCAGGGTATGGGCAAATGCTACTTCAGTGACATCTAATCTTAGAACTGGTTTAGATTTCTCACATTCATGGGAAATTCCATACATACCCAACAGACTGCATTATTTTTCAGGTAGCATATCAATTATGGTGCCTCTGGGCAAGAGTGGCAGATTGCCTACCTTGGTCCATGATTCTGGGACATGACTGGAAACCTCTTCAGACCCTCCTGGGAAGAGACTCAAGTCCATGCTGCTCAGACACTTTTAAGAGGCAAGAAAAGAACTCAATGGAGGATAGCTGGGATCCATTTCCCATTGCTCGGTGTGACCGATTCGAAATTCCCTAATGATCCCAAAGTTTACAAACACAGCCCAAGAAGGGAGGACAAGCCAGAGGTGACTCTATGAAGTAGTGAGAAGAGAAAAGCAGGTCTGGGTGAAGGAACAGCCTATTGAATATTGGGGATGTCCCCTATCCCTGGATACCACAGATCTCCTTCCCATCCTAGACTGCAGCACCCTAAGGCTGTGTCTATATTGGTGCGATCTTGCACAAAAGCGACTTCTTTTGCGCCAAAACTTTCTGCCTGTCTACACTAGCCACGAGTTCTTGCGCAAGAACACTGACGTTCTAATGTATGAAATCAGTGCTTCTTGCTCAAGAACTATCATGCTCCCGCTCAGGAATAAGCCCTCTTGCGCAGCTGCTCTTGCACAAGAGGCCAGTGTAGACAGGCAACATGAATTTCTTGAGCAAGAAAGCCTTATGGTTAAAATGGTCATCAGAGCTTTCTTGCGCAAGAGAGCGTCTACACTGGCACAGATGCTCTTGAGCAAAAGCACATCTCTTGTGCAAAGGCACATGGCAGTGTAGACGCTCTCTTCTGGAAGAGTTTTTGCAGAAGAACTCTTCCACAAAAGAATTCTTGCACAAAATCATGCCAATGTAGACGTAGCCTTAAGTGTCACCTTTGTTGTAGTGGTGACTCAACACTACGACTAGATGCTCTGGGCATATTTCAACTAACTTGCTGCCATCAACAGGATAGCCATCTCCAAAGATGAATTTTACCAGTGTCTCTGCCCTTCCCATTCTGAATTACAGGATGGATCATGCACTGAGTAGAAAGATATCCCCAAACTAACAAATCAACTTCTAGTTCCCAGCTTGTCTTGTGAATTCCTATAGCTAGCCCATACACTCTCCATGTCAAGGCACCTCCATAAGGTGAAAACCCAAGACAGATTGTTTCTATTGGCTCTATTCTTTTGATCACGCATACATAAGGAAGTAGATGATTTCTGCTTATTGTGCCCCAG